CCGAGCCCCTCCTCGGCTCATTCTTCGTGGTTCCCGACATAAACACGCCAAAGTCTCCGTTTCCTGCAATTGAAGGAGCCCTGCCCAGGGCCGCCGGGACAGGAATCAAGATTGTTTAGATTCTGGCCTTGATGGGGAAGCGAAGTCACGCAAGCCCGGCCCTTGAGAGCACACGTGTACGTGGCTGACCCAGACAGGCTACGACTGCAGTGTAAAATGGGCTTTTCCTCCCCAAAATAGCTTGCTTGGTTGTTGCTTGCGGGGAGGAAACGGCGACCGGGTCCCGGGGCTGGAGGGCAGGAGCGGGATCTGGTTCTGGGTGTCCCATGCCAGGAGCGATGCCCGGGCTGATCTCTGGCTGAAGCTGCAGCCGGTCCCTCGGCTGGCCTGGGATCAGCTTTGTTTTAAAAAATAAACTCCCCTGGAGTTGGGCTGATGCTCCCTGAGCCTCCAGGATGCTCCCAGACACGGCGCCTTTCCTTGCAATCCCGAGCGCTACAAAACGCATCCTTTTAAAGGGGAGCCGAGACCCCTTGGTGGTGCATTCCCTTCTTGGGGGGCACTTCCATAAAATCCCGAGCCATTAGACGGCTGTGGGATCTTTGCCATGAAACACAAAGCGGTCAGGGCCTCATCCAAAACTTTGCCGTACATGCAACAACATCGCATGGATTTTTGGTGCTAACCGAGAGCAAACCTTAACCCAGAACTGTCCCCAGCATCCTGCGGGAGAAATATCCCAGGTTCTTCTGTAAATGGGTCAAACCAGCCCCCGTGTCCCCATCCCTGTCCCCAATCTCCCTCCTTTGTCTCTCACACTGGAGCTGCAGCTCATGCACCCTCCGGAGCATCTTCCCCAGCCTGGCTGGGGGGTGATGGCAAGTCACATTGCCGTGTTACATCCTTCCATCCTTCGGGATTTGCAGCAGCATCAGGAGAAGGAAAAAAACCCAGTTAAAACCTCTCGGAGGGGGTGCAGGTGCTGGCAGAAGCAGCTGGGAGCAGTAGGCAGCCGTGCCGTGGCGCTGGCTGGCCAGGGGGGTCCGGAGCAGCCCTGGGGAAGGGGAATTTCCCCACAGCCCCGCAGAGAGAAAAGCAAAGGGGCTGTTGGGGGGAGAGGGAGCGGGAGGGGGGGGGGGCCTGGGGCAGGGGGGGCTGGGC